GTGGGTTGACCTCGTTGTCGCAACTTGGTCTTGTTGTCAGGGTGACTTAGTAGAACGCATCTAGTCCGAAATCGTCTCCCATAGTAGTCATAATTCCCAGCATCAGACAGTGGACTCGGTACATTCTCCGACGTTTCTCCGGCATCATTAGTGAATGTTGCCATTCTCCACATCAAGCTACAAACCCGTCAGACAGGTGAAGTCAATCCCTCGACCAACGTTCTGCCGAAAACGAATGCACTATCACTACTCTTTCTGTCCTGGCCCATCTATCTATTCTTTACCCTCTTATCGCAGATGACTTCGGATTAGGTGAGTTCTACTAAGTCGCCCTGACAACAGGACCAAGTTGCCACAACGAGATCACCCACTCCTATAAATCGAAAGAAGACTGCGACTATACCAGAAGCCACACCATCTTGGTCTTCATATCTTCTATGGATTCATTTATATTAATATTAATGTTCCATATTACCTTTAAATAAATATAGGAGAGAAATTAACCCATTTTAATTTGCCTTGATATCAGAACCTTAGTATCAGATTACCCTAAGACTGCTGAATTTTTTTATCATTTATTTTCTACAGACACTTCTATTTTGTGCTTATGAATAAGCTCAAAAGCACTAACTAACACTTCTGACCTCCATTATGCAGTTTAGGAATAATGCATTTGGGACACTTTGCGAGACGATTATATGCCTAAAATCTATCCCACTGTGGGCAGCATCTAATGAAAATGCTTCCTTTTTAAAAGATTTGATTCGTGTGACATTTAGAGCTAAATAAAGCAAATTGAAAAATCTATAGGGAATTATTTACTAATGTAAAGTATAAATATGGTTAATATGATCCCAATGTAGAGATGACTTTATGAAATCAAGACGTATTTCTACTCCCGACGCTATAAAACGCTGAAATGAGGAACTCTTCATATATATATATATATATATATATGTTCCTGTAACCTTTTTTTAATTTTAAATTACTTCACTACATACTTGAAGTGAAGGCTTTCATTTCATATGAAAGTGCATGCTGAAAAGATTTGTATGTCAATCCCACTTTGAGACAACGGCTAATTCCTGTTGTACTGCAGCCGTTTGGCTTTAATTTCCCCTTCCGGATTTATCCGATTTCTCATTATTATTTAGCTTGTGCGCTCGCTCAGCCCTCCGGCAGATCGATCTCCTGTATCACCTCCCTCATGCTTATCCCACGGCCGACGATCACCTTCGATGCAAGCTGCAACGTTCCAAACTACGTCGCCTACATCGTCAACCGAGGCGTTGGCAAATGCCCCTTCTAGCAGCCCTCTTCGCGAGACACCGGAGTATCGGGCAGCGCTGGAGCTAGAGGTATGGAGGGCTGCCGAAGAGGCTCGTTTCCTAGCCCGGCTACGGCAGCGAGAGCAGCGCACAATGCTCGTATTGGCAGAGGAGTGGCATCGGCGTGAGACAGAGAGAGAGACTATCTGCAAGAAGAAGGTAGTCATAACACATTCACGCATATTCGCTTTCTCTCGACTAATACAACTTAATGTTTATTTGT